GGGGGGGGGCAGGGGGGGCAAGCCCGATGGTCCGGGTAATCGCCCGACCCTGAAAAAAACAATATCATAGTTGGACAGCTCGCCTTCCTTGGGAGCTGCGAACTGCGCGGGCGGCGCCGCGCTCGTCAGTTCCCGGGCGTAGCCGGGCGGCCGGCTGCGGGGATGGGCAAGCAGGGGGGACCTCGCCTCCCTCGGGTGGTGCCAACTGCGCAGTTGTCGCCAGTTCCTCGAGCCGACCAGACAACTGTCGACGCTGTCGCGTATCCCTGGGGGATTCAGCGGAGTGGTGGCCTAAGCAGATCTACGTGAAACACTGCCTCCGAGGGCGCTGGCAACCGCTTAACTGTCGCCATTGTTTAGTCCCTGATGGCCAACAGACTGGCGACCTACACTGATCCACATGAGGCATCGCTTGGGTTTGGGGTGACAGTCGGACAGCGTTCGCATGTATATTGATGCCTGCCCATCCCGCGTTCGAAATTAAACAAATGTCTGAATAGCGGTTTGCGGCTGCAAACGGGAGGCGCGCAAAAGGGAATTGACATGATGCATGGCTCGCCCTGGACACGGCTAGACAGCGTCGCACGAGAGGAGTGCAGTCGCGCATTCAAACAAGACCAGACGTATGTCATAACGCGGTGGGCTCAAGATACGTTCCAATAACTCTGGAGTTCTAGCGGCCCTCGCTAGCTGAGCCCGTGAGGAACCATGGGGGGCAACGGGGATCGTGGAAGCATATTGGAGCGCATCCTTACTATGATTTCTTGGTCCTATAATGAAAGGATTCACGGCTCGCCCCGGTCTTGGCTAGATGCCAAATGCCAGCAGAACAGCCTGGCACTAGGTGTCAGCTTGAGCTGCAGACGGAAAATGCGATCACAAGAAGAGAATGCATGGCTTGCCCGTGCTGCGCAAAAGAAATGGAAATATGCATTCAAACAAGAAGAGCCAAATATTATGATGCGGTTGGCTGGGGATGCGCTACAACAGTGCTGGAGTATCAAACGGCCCTCGGTTGCTGAGCCCGCGTGGCACCATGATCTTGAAACGCATCCTTACCATGAGCTCTTGGTCCTCTGATCAAGGACGTGCACGGCTCGCCCTGGACTCGGCTAGACGCTAGATGCCAGTAAGACAGCTCGAAACTAGAAGTGTCAGCAGTTCCTGGAGCAGCAGGCTCCACAATGCCATGATGCGCCACTGGGGCAGCATACGGCAGGAATGCTCAAAAGACACGAATTGATGGGTTCCTCGTGTTGCACGAGAGGAGTACACAAGCGCATTAAACTAGGACGATCATCTTATCATGTCCACGACTTCTTATGGGCGCGGCTAGTTTCACGTCGGATGCAAGCAGGACAGCTCTGAAGTAAGTGTTAGTTTGAGTGCAGACGGCAAGGGTGCTCAGAGGATAAGAATGCATGACTTCCCCATGTTGCACGAAAGAAATGGAAAGATGCATTCAGACATGAAGAGCATAATCTTACGATGCGATTGGCTGGGACTACGTCCCAAAAATACTGGAGAATCTCGCGGCCCTCGGTTGCTGAACCCGTGTGGGACCATGGGAGACCCTGGGGAAACTGGAGGCATCTTGGAACGCATCCTTACCATGACTGATAAAAGAATGCAGGGCTCGCCCTGGACTTTGGCTAGACGCCAGGCGCCAGCAAGACAGCCCGGCACTAAGGCTCACAAGACACGAATGCATGGGTTCCTCGTGTTGCACGAGAGGAGAACACAAGCGCCTTTAGGAGTTATTTGGATCATTACCATGACTTCTTGCCCCTCTGCCAGAAGAGTGCATGCCTCGCTCTAGACTCGCCTAGCTAGACGCCGAATGCAAGCAAGACAGCTCTGCAGTAAGTGTCAGCTTGAGCTGCAGACGGAAAGGGCATTCACAAGAAAATAATGCATGGCTTCCCCATGTTGCACGACAGAAATTTCAACATGCATTCGAACAAGGCGAGAATAATATTATGATACGACTGGCAAGGGGTAGCTCCAATAATCCGCCGACCCCTTCTGGGTCTCTAGGCGTGTGAGATAGTTCCCCCCCCCAAAAGTCCCCCCCCAGGAACCCCTTAACCGGCGATTTGACCCCCCCCCCGGGCCCGGGACGAACGACTCACTGGCTTTCTTGGGCCCAAAAGGGGCTCAAGACGGGCCAAGAAGGTCCCAAGACGCCTCCAAGACGGCCCACGAGGGCCCCGAGACGCCACACGAGCGCTCCAAGACGCCCAAGATGGTCCCATGACGAGCCAAGAGACCTCCAAGACGGCCCAAGCGGCCTCCAAGAGCAGTCCTCAGAAGGGCCTACGAGCTGAAAATTGTGGAATTCCTATGGGAAAACGTACATTTTGATAATATACGACTTGTCGGCCTTCACGGCGTTGAAGACCGTCCAAGAGCACCCCAAGACCGCCCCAAGACGGCCCAAGAGGCCCCCAAGAGGCGCCCAAGTCGGCTCCAGAGGGCGCCAAGACGGCCCAATAGGCCTCCAAGACTGCCCAAGAGGGCCCCAAGACGGCCCCACGAGGGGCCCAAGAGGGGGAGCTTGAACCGACAATCCGAGCCTTCCGCCCCAAGACGGCCCCAGAAGGCCCCAAGAGGCCCCAGGAGGCCCCCAAGACGCCTCCAGCCCCAGAAGGCCCCCAAGAGGGCCCCAAACGGTCCCAAAACGGCCCCCAAAAGGCTTCGAAACTGCCTCCAAAAGTCCCGCGAGAAGCCCCTCGCCCATTCTTCCTCTTCCTCCCTCGCCTCATCCTCATCCTCGTCGATTATTTTCCCCCCGTCCTTCATTTCCTCCGTGTCCCCCTCCTCCTCCTCCTCCTCACCGCCCTTGTCCACCTCGGCCCCCAGGTGGCTTCAAAACTGTTTTCCAAAGGTCCCCGAAAGGCGTGCCGCGAAATCGCTATACACATACAAGAATTTCTCACCCATAGACCATAACTCAGAGCCTCATCTCAATGTCCCAGCTGGCGGCTGGCAGCGGTGGAGTCGTGGACATGTGAGCCTCCACTGGAGCTGCAGACTGTGGTGTGGCCGTTCGCCACGGACTCCGACCAGTGCGCGCACGGCCAATTGAGCAGGGAGGTATTCGCATGGTCGGGGTGCACACACCACCCTCATCGGCAGGAACGAGAGGCTCCAAGCCTTTCAGACGGCCTGGAAAACAAAGGTGGACCATTCAGGGCCTGTGCTGCTGCACGGCTGAGAGCACTCTGGAGCCGATGCGATCCTTCCTCGTCGCCAAGACTATAAATATATTCCCACTGCCGAGTCCTCCATCTCCTTGAAGATGTAAGGGGCTTCGCGTGGCCGAGCCACAGTTTGACATGGGACAGAAAGGCATCCTTCAAGAACATGAGACCCTCCGCCGGCCAAAACGCCCCAAACCATAAGATCACTCGAGGGCGCCATCCCTCAGGATGCACACAAGGGTCTCAAACTATCACGAAGAATACTTTGGTACCCTCTCCGAGACGACCTCGATCTTACACCTCGGCCCGACCGTACTGAAGAGAAGACAAAGAGAGAGAGAGAGAGAGAAAGCTAAACAGAAAGGGAGAGGGAGAGAGCAAAAGAGAGAGAGAGAGGGAGAGAGAGCGAGGGAGAGGGAGAGAGCAAAGGAGAGGGAAGGAAGCTCCTGGAAGGAGAGGGGGAGAGCAACAAACACACACATACATATATATATATATAGAGAGAGAGAGAGAGAGAGATAAACAGCACGAACAACAACACGAAACATGCTGTTCAGCCCAGGCCAGGCCTGCCCATGACTGCCTCCTCACAAGGGTGCTAACCACAGGCCAGCCTCCTACAGCCTCCTCACAAGGGTGCCTGACTTCGCGCTTCGCGCTACGCGAAGTGCGACTCGCGAATAACTTCGCGCTCTCGCGTCGCCCCCCAGCGGAGAAAACGAGGATGAGGAATCGGATTCGAACCGCAAAGCGCGGAAAAGTTCGCGCCACCGAGGGGGCCACTGCTCCCCCATCCTCCTCACGACTCTCTCGCATCCCTCCTCCGCCGCCTCCTCGCCTGGGGAAACCAAACATTTAGGCGGCAAAAACAAGGGGGGAAGCGATGAGAAGCGTGCCTTGTCAGAAGGCTCGGAAGCCCCCCGGACTTCCGAGAAGATCTCTAAGCCTTCCCCGAAGGCAGAAAAAGCTTCTCAGAAGGCGTGAGGGCTTCTGAGAAGTCCCGCCGCCTTCTGAGAGGGCCTTCTCCTTCTCAGTTCCCCGAGGAGGAGGAGGAGGAGGAGGAGGAGGAGGAGGAGGAGGAGGAGGATGAGGAGGAGGAGGAGGAGGAGCGCATGCGGAGGAGGGGGAGGCGAAGGAGGCTGATGAGGAGGAGGAAGAGGATGCGGAGGGGGGACGGAGGAGGAGGAGGAGGAGGAGGAGGAGGAGGAGGAGGAGGAGGAGACTCGCTCGCCGCCGAAAAGTGCCGACGCCGCTGCTCCCCGGGCCGCTCGTGGGGCGCGCCCCGGCCAGGCTTTCGAGGCGCACCCAGCCGCAGGAAGCCCGCAGATGCGAACACGAGGCAAGAGTAGCGGTACTGCAGGTCCGTGCCGTGTCGACCCTGGCGTTGGTTCCTGACACCGCGATGGATCGTTCAACCTTGAACGATCGGCCGTCTCCGCAACGTCCGATCGTTCAACATCGACCGATTCTGGGCCGCCGTCGGCGTTCAACGTTGAACGTCGGCGGCGGGGTCGCCGCCGGTCGACACGACGCGAACCTACCGTAGGGCTGCCTTTTCCTTCTCTGATCCTCCTCTCGGCGGCGGACAAAACCTCCCTTCAGTAAACCTCCCCTTAATGAAAATGGCCCAGGACCGAAACCGACGGATCTGGACCCGCAGAAATAACGGCCGCGACGCTCTCTCGCGAACCGAAAACTGCCAATTCCTCAATCGACGTGTCAGGGTAGGAGGTATATCCACCTCCGACTGATCCTCCTCCTCCATTCTTCCTTCTTGCCTCTTCGTCCGGGCGCGTCCTTGGGGCGCGCCATCGCGTCTACGCTGCAGTCATCGACGCAATCTGCCTTGGCCGCCCGGGCCGCCCAAGAGGCGAGCCGCGCGTTCTCCTCCTCGATATGGGAGCCGAGGATGGGGAAGGGAAAGGAGGAGGAGGAGGAGGAGGAGGAGGAGGAGGAAGAGAGGAGTACGAAGTACGAAGAGGATGAGGAGGAGGAGGAGGAGATGGGGAAGGACAGGCAACATAGTCTTGTTGCCCCTGGATTCGGACAGGCAGCTCGTAGATGCCTCTAGCTGGCGAGCGAGCGAGCGAGGAGGCACAGGGAGGGGGAGGGGGGGAGAACGAGGACGGGGCGACGGGGGACGAGGGGGGCAGGCGGAGGAGGAGGAGGATGGGCGGAGGGAAGACAAGGAGGTGCTCGATTGCAGTCGGTGGGGTGGGAGGAAGGAGGGGAGGAGGGTGGCCAGAGAAAGAGGCCCATCCCGACCCTCCGCCCCCCAATTCCCCCCCCTCTCCCCCCCCCCTCCCCCGTCCCCCCCCTCCCCTCCACTCCCTCCCCTCCTCTCCTCTCCCCTCTCCCTAGCCTCCGCTCATCTGGGGAAACCAAAAGTTCCTTTATGTTGGCCCCATTGCACTAAAAAACCACACCCCAGAAAAAATGTCGAGCACCCCGAAAAGTATCGAAACAGGGTCAGTCCGACACGCAGGCGAAGTGCCGAACGAGCATCGCCTCCCAGGGCCCGACACTTGAAAACCCTCCGGCTTCGATACGAGATTCTTTCTGGTGATCAAGGCTGAAATAGGTTGGAACATCATACAAAAAATACCGATACCGCTGCTATTCCCCCGACCTCTCCCGGGGTGCGTTCTGACCAGGGTCTCGAGGCGAATCCAGCTGTGGCAAAGATTACCTCCCAAGAGGCCCCCAAAAACGAGAACGAGGCAGGGGTGTATCGTGTATCGGTATACCTTTTCTCCCATCGGGTGAAAAGAAATAGAGAATCTCTGAGAGTCGTCTGCTTTGGAAAATGTCTCGGGCATCGCGGCCTTCTCAGAGCGTTCCGAACACTCTGAGAGCGTTCCGGAACGCGCTGGGACGGACCTATCCTTGCCCTAACCCCGTCCGACCTCCCTCACCCCCCTCATCCCACCACTCCCCCATACCCGAACCCCTCTCGTTGTGAAATTAGCCTGGCGAAACCAACAACCATATTCAGTTGTGAGTACCGTCGTTGTATGTACCGCATTCGGCGGAACTCCCTATAGGGCCACGAAGCGTGTAAGGGGCGTGCCAAAATTTGTCCAGTGGGCGCATGCGAAAGCAGCCACTGGGGCCGTCGGTGGAATTGCCTATTGGGCCACGAAACGTGTGAGACGTGTGCCGAAATAGGTGCGGTGGGCGCACGCAAAAACAACCACTGGGACCGTTGGTGCTGCTCCTTATGGGACCGCGAAGCGTGTGAGAGGTGTGCCGAAGTGGGCGCGGTGGGCGCATGCGAACGCAGCCGCTGGCGCCTTCGGTGGAGATCCCCATGGAGCCACGAAGCGCGTGAGAGATGTACCCGAATGGGCGTGGGCGGCGCATGCTGTGGAGCTCCCCTCGGGGCCACGAAACGTGTGAAGGGTGTGCCGACATGGGTGTGGGTGACGCATGCGGGCGGTGGCACTGGGGCCTTCGGTGGAGCTCCCTATGGCCCGCCGGGGTGACGAAGCGCGTGAGGGGCGTGCCGAACATGGTGGTTGACGCATGCGGGCGGTGGCGCTGGGGCCTTCGGTGAAGCTCCCTGTATGGGGCCACGAAGCGCGTGAAGGGTGTGCCGACATGGGTGTGAGTGACGCATGCGGGCGGTGGCAGTGGGGCCTTCGGTGGAGCTTTATACGGGGCGACGAAGCGTGTGAGGGGTGTGAGCATTGGGCGCAGGTGGCGCATGCGGGCGGAGGCATGGCGGCCTCCAGTAGAGCTCCCTTCGAGGCCATGAAACGTGTGTGGGGTGTGCTGACATGAGTATGGGGGGCAAACGACTGCGGGTGGTGCCACTGGGGCCCTCGTTGGAGCTCCATATGGGGCCTTGAATCGCGTGAGGGGCGCGCCGGAAATAGTGTGGGTGACGCACGCGGGCGATGGCACTGAGGCCTTCGGTGGAGCTTATGGGGCCACGAAGCGTGTCCGGGCTGTGCTGACATGGGTGTGGGTGACGCATGCCAGCGGTGGCACTGGGGCCGTCTGTGGGGCTCCCATGGGGCCACGAAGCGTGCGAAGGGTGCGCCGACATGGGTGTGGGTGACGCATGCAAGCGATGGCACTGGGGCCTTCGGTAGAGCTCCGCATTGGGCCGCGAAGACTGTAAAGGGTGTGCCAATATGGGTGTGGGTGACGCATGCGCGCGGTGGCACTGGGCTCCCTATGGGGCCGCGGAATGTGTGGTGGGTGCCGGAGTGGGTGTCGGTGACGCATGCGGGGGGTGGCGCCGTGGCCTCCGATGGGGCGCCCTGTGGGGCCACGAGGCGTGTGATGGGGAGCGCCGCAATTGGCGTGGGTGGCGCACGCGGGCGGTGGCACTGGGGCCTGCGGTGGGGCTCCATATGGGGCCACGAAACGTGTGAAGGGTGTGCCGAAGTGGGCGTGGGTGACGTATGCGGGTGGTGGCACTGGGGCCTTCGGTGGAATCCCCTCATGGGGCCACGAAGCGCGTCAGGGGCGTGCCGAAATCGGCGCGAGGGACGCATGCGGGCGGTGGCACTGGGGCCATTGGTGGAGCGACATGTGGGCCCACGAAACGTGTGAGGGGTGCGCCAAAATGAGTGTGAGTGACGCACGCGGGCGATGGCACTGACGCCTTCGGTGGAGCTCCCGGTGGGGCGACGAAGCGCGCGAAGGGCGTGCCGAAAACTGTGTAGGTGACGCACGCGGGCGATGCCACTGAACCCTTCGGTGGAGCTCCGTACGGGGCCACGAAACGCGCGAGGGGCGTGCCGACATGGGGGTGGACGACGCATGCGGGCGGTGGCAATGAAACTTCGGTGAAGTTCCCAATGAATGGTGACGATGATGATGCTGATGTTGAGATGGCGAGGACGATGATGATGATGATGGTGATGATGATGATGATCCGAAAGCTTCAGTAAAATGCTACGGATGATGGTAGTGATGATGATGATGATGCTGATGGTGGTGGTGATGATGATGATGATGATGATGATGATGATGATGATCGCGCTCTCCCGAGGAGGGGCGGCGCAATGTCGCGCTCCCTGTGCCCAGGGCTGGCCCCTCGGGCGCGCGCGCCCGCTGCGCAGGCGAGGACAGAGCCACCCCAAGCTCAACTGCGCACCACTACTAAGGGGCCCCCGGCACCCTCTCCAGGGTTTCCACGCAGACACACCCCAAACTGCGGTTTGAAATGGCAGCGAAGCGCTAGCCCCGCGGCGGCTTGGACAGGCCCCTCGCTCTCCAGCGGGTCGCTGCGCAGCCAAGCAGACTCGAGCGCTTTCTGGAACTCGAAGCGCTCCAGCTCGGCCACATCGTCATCCCCGTCGTCGGAGCAGTCCAACACCCGCTGGGCCTCCCCGTAGATGGCCTCCAGTTGTGAGATCCGGTACAGAATCATGCCGCGCTTGGCCGCGCGGGTACCATCCCACTTCGCGGCGGTCTCGACACCCTTCGCGGCGTCCCCCAGGCGCCCCCAGAAGTCCACCACGCAAGTTGGCAGAGGAGGTGGCGCGGCGGAGTCGTCGTCCGCCTCCGCCGCCGCCGCCGCCATGAGCTCCCCCTTGCGCATCGCCTTGTGCATCGCTCCCCCTCGTGCATCGGTCGCGCCCGCGAGCGCCTCCTCGGGCCGCCTGCTACGGGGGCCGCCCGCCAGCCAACCCGTGGCGATCTCAGCACGGGCGCTCCACATCGCCATGCTGGCGCCGCGCTGATCCCCGAGCTGAAACCGATCACGTGTGGGCTCCGCTTCACCGCCAGCTCCTTCTCGCAACTGCCGTGGGCCACTGCGTGCCAGCCGCGCCCTGCTTCACCGCGAGCTCGCGCGTCGCGATCACGCCATGATCGCTGAGCTCCTTAACGAGCAATGGGACAAGCGGTGCCGCTAGCAGGGGGTCGGGGCCGTCTAGCTCCGCCCCGATCTCGCCGTCGTGCACCGCGTCGGCCCTGGCGGCCCTGGCAGCCTCCGCGACAGCGACGCCCGAGCCCGCGCGCGGGATGGCCGAGTCGGGCGGGGACTCGGCCAATTTCCGCGCGGGCGGGGCCAACCGCCGACAGCGCGGGGCGCGCCACACGCCTGGGCCTATTTCTGGGCCCGGCGTAGAGAGCACGCCGTCGCCGTCCCCAGCGGCCAGGGCGCCAACGCCGCGTGGAGCGCCACGTTCCTCCGCAGCATGTCGACGGGCGACTCGATGGCCTTGCCGTGCACCGTCTCCTTCAGGTGCTCCGCCACCACCGCCAAGCGCTCCGCCATGTCGGGCCCCCCCACCGACTCCACCAGCTTCTCGTAGCGGCTCCGCCAGAAGCGCACCGCCCGCTGCAGGTCGCGGACGAGCACGTCCCCCGACCAACGGGCCCACGCCTGGCCAGCTCGGCGCCTCCTTGCCGCCGTGCCGCACGCGGGCTGCACACATCGCCGCCAGCGGCGGCCTCCCGCCTGGGGGCCGCCTCCCGCGCCATCACACACCTCACCAGCCGCCCGATGGAAGCTGGCCCGAAAGCTTCAGTAAAATGCTACGGATGATGATGATGATGATGATGATGATGATGATGATGATGATGATGATGATGATGGTGATGATGATGATGCTGATGATGATGCTGATGATGATGATGATTGTGGTGATGATGCAGAAGAAGCATACGATGATGATAATGATGATGATGAGATGGTGATGATGATGATGATGCTGATGATGCTGATGATGATGCTGATGGTGGTGATGATGATGGTGGTGATGGTGATGGTGATGGTGATGGTGACGGTGATGGTGATGGTGGTGGTGATGATGATGATGATGATGATGCTGATGATGATGATGATAATGATGATGATGAAACGGGGAGGGAAGGAGCAACGGGAGGAGGAGGAGTGAACGCGGGGCGCTCTCTTCAAAAGGAGGACCCAACATCACAAGATGATTGGGACACAATCCACGATGGGAAGTGTTCGGTATGCTCGGCCTTAGGGAGCCCTTACCGGGCCTTGGGGCCGTCATAAAACTAATTGCAAGATGGAAAATCGGAAAAAGGGGAGGGGACGAGACCTCTGGGGGTCGGTGCTGTTCAAAAAACACGGCGTCGGGGGTCTGGGATCGACGCCCTCCGTGATAAGCAATACCCTACCCCTGGACCTACGCTAGGTGGGCCAAAAACATTAGGGATAGGGGGTCTCATCTGCAGAAGAATTGAATCAGACCAAACCGCATAGATCTAATATCCATAATGCGAAGACGGAGACCTACGTGAGGCCACGCCTTCATCGTGTTATCAGGGTTGAGGGATTATGTTCTTCTCGATGAAACAAATCCCAAGAAAACCCGACCCTTTGACCCGGACCGGTTTCTCATCCTGATTCCTTGTTTGACGGTCCCAGGGCCCGGCGAGGGCCCCTAGAAAATTGTCAGAAACCGCCCGTCGTGCTTTTTTCAAGACGCGAGCATGTCTGGGTCCTCCTGGGTCCCCGGAAGTCCCGACACTTTCCCCAGGACCCGTCTTCCATGCCGAATCGTCTTCTATGACGGCCCCGAGGCCCAGCGAGGGCCTCTCGAGGCAGAGCAGGGAAGAAAACCTGTGTCTTGATTTTGGTTCCATGCATTGGATCTCTGGGTCCGCGCCCTCCTCGGATACGCATCGGCGATGCGGCGCGATTCCTCGACCCCCATCTACTCCGACCCCATCTGGGAGGCCCAGAATCACAGGCCTAGAGGATGACACCAACACCAAGATCGGCAGTGTGCCTCCACCGAGGGAAGCTGATTCCTCTCTCGGTGATGGCGGCACATCCTTCTCTGGTGAACACAGCCCCCTGTTTTGGTGTCGGTGTCAATATCCAAGCCTCCAGAAGTTCACGAACAAACAGCGAGGCATAAACCTAAACTCTTGGCGGTCCGCGCGGATTTCTTGGATCTGCGCTGGACCCCCTCCCTGGGGCGCGGAGCGCGCCAGGGGAAGCGCAAGAGGCGCCCTCTGTGAGGCCCAGCGCGGATCCAAGAAATCCGAGCGGAGCGTCTAAAGTTTATGGATATGGCGACATTTCTTCATCAGATTGGGCGCCGATGTGTATCCGCACCCGAGCCTGTCCCCTCCTAACGTTGCCCTTTGGGAGCGGGGGGGGGAGAAGAACAGCCGGAGGTGGAGGAGGAGGAGGAGGAGGAGGAGGAGGAGGAGGAGGAGGAGGAGGAGGAGGAGGAGGAGGAGGGGGGAGGAGAAGAAGAAGGAGGGGGGGGAGGAGAAGAAGAAGGAGGAGAGGAGCGCCAAAAGCTTGTGTCGATGGCGCTCCCCTCCGGAAACGGGCTCTGGGTCGGGAGACTCTTCATGGGGGGGGATCCCATGGGGGGATAGGATCCCAGGGGGGGGGGGGATCCCATAGGATCCCCTGGGGATCCCATGGGGGGGCAGGAGGGGATCCCATGGGGGGGATCCCCTCCTGCCCCCCCATGGGATCCCCCCCCCATGGAGAGCCTCCCGACTGGGGCTCTGACCCTCCGCGTCCTCCTCGGTCTCGACGTCCAGGCCGAGCAGGGCCAGCGACTCCCGCGACAGCAGCGGGCGCCGCGACTCCGCGGCCAGCGCCCCCGCGGCGGCCCGCGGCTCGCATAGCGCGGCGGCCAGCAGCAGCGCCGAGGGCGCCGCTCGCACGCTCGGGGAGGCCCCCGCCGCTCGGTCGCCCGGTCGCCGCCCGCCGCCGTTTTCCCCAGACGTGTCCTCCTCCTCCTCCCCCCTCCTCCTCCTCCCTCCTCCTCCTCCTTCTCCTCCTCCTCCTCCTCCCTCCTCCCTCCTCCTCCCTCCTCCCTCCTCCTCCTCCTCCTCCTCCTCCACCACCTCCTCCTCCTCCACCTCCTCCTCCTCCTCCTCGCCGCCCGCCGCCGTCTTCCCCAGACGTGCCCGCGTCGGTGCACAAAGATCGGGTCGGGCGAAAGGGGGGGATAGCAAAGGGGGGGTTTGAGAATCAGCTCACGTAGCCGATTTTCCCGGCGCCTCCCGGCGCCGGAGGCGGCTATGTATCGAGGAATGGGGCCCTCGGTGAGGCCGAAACCAGCTGCATGCAGCAAATTTCGTAACCCCCCCTTTCCCTATCCCCCCCTTTCGCCCCGCCCGAAAAGAGCAGGGCACAGGCGTTCCCTCCCCTGTTCGGCCTCTCTAGAGGCCCTCTCCTCGCTGGGCCTCGGGGCCGTCAACAAACGATTTGGGATGGAGAGGGGCCCTGCCCTGATCATTGGATACTGGAAGTTTCCAGTCGCGAACAACGAGAACGGTCGCTACCGATTTTGCTTCAAATTATGGTATCGGTCGCGATCGGATGCGACTGGTCGCGACCGATTCGCGATCGGTCGCGACCGATTTGGAGTGCCGATCGGTCGCTGACGATCGCGACCGAACAAAAATCGGTACCCTATGATCAAGGTGGGGAAAGGGTCGGGACTTCCGGGGACCCGATGCTCGCGTCTCGAAAAAATCACGACGGGCGGTGATAGGCCATTTTCGGTCATGAAATAACAAAACACATGGAAACATACAACATACATTTTCTTTGCATGCAGGAAGCACGGAAAACAAAAGCAGAAGATTTCGTAGATGAGAACAGTGGCAGCCGCATCATTCTTTCTGGAGAAGATACAGATGCAACATCTTGGTCTGGAGATGGCTTCATCATCTCTCCCAGTCACGTGCCTCTGGTACGATCTTGCAAGGAGATCTCGGAAAAGATCATACAATTGAACATCAAAACTGGTATTCGTATATTCGGGATCTTCGGCGTGTATGCGCCCACAACTTGAAGCCCTTGCCAGAAAGACGCATGTTTTGGAATACTCTGGACACCGAGTTCAGGACGTGCTCAGCCACAGCCGGCAAGCTTATCATGGGGGATGTGAATGCACGAGTTGGGCATGCAGACGCTGGGGAATCGACGACAATATGGCCGTTCACTTGGGGTAGGCGGGCCTTGCATCAAGTCGAAGTTCCTAATCGGGATTTGCTCATGGAGTTGTGCTTTGGCCTCGAACTAAGATTGGCAAATACCTATTTTGAGCGGCCTCTGGAAGACGCCGTTACCTTCATGGAGGCGGGCGCCAAACCACTGGGGCCTATTACCGAGGACAAATACAACATTTTGGATTACATCATGTGCGATGCTCCCACCTTGGCCCAAATACGTAATTTGAAAACACACCGCGGCGCAGCACTGGCCACGGACCACTACCTGATGACAGTGGACATTCAGCACGCTCAGCATGACGATCCATTGCCGCGCAAACCTCCTAGAGACAGAGATCTGCTTCGAGACCCCGCAGTGCAATCAATGTATGCAGAAGCATTTCTGGACGAGATTGTTGGCCACGCGAGTCCCCAGAACGTGGACGCTTTGTCGGAGCAGGGTGCACATGCAGCGCTAGCAACCGCCACTGTTCTACCACGCCGCCAAGAAGAAGTAAAACGGCCATGGGTATCTCAACGCACATTGGCACTGATACAACAAAGAAGCGAAGCTCGTGCCAGCAACAATCGTCAAGAAGAGCGACGCTTGCTGACAGAAGTAAGGCGATCTTGCAAAATCGATAAGACAGAGTGGATGGACTCAAACATAGCAGCGGGGCGCTGGGACGATATTCGGAGATTCTGCCGACCACGACAACATAAGCAGGGAAGGCTTCAAAACTTACAGGGGCGATTGGTGGCAAGCCATGAGCGCGCAGATACCGTGGCAACTTATTTGGAGCAAGTGCAATGGAAAGTACGGCAGGCAAATTTGGTTGACAACGAGGCCTTGGGACCGCCACTTCCCGTCGACGAGTCGGCTTTCACCGCGCAGAAGTGGGGAAAGCAGTAACTCAAATGGGGAAAGGCAGCAGGACCGGACGACATTCCCGCATAATATTGGAAAGCCATATCACAAACACCTGGCGGGCTAAAGTGGGTTACAGAATTATGCAATTCAACATGGGCGGAGCACAGAGTTCCCGAAGCATGGCGGCATGCCACTGTGAGCACAATCTACAAGAACAAGGGCCCTATCCACATGTGTGAAAATTACCGGCCAATTAATTTACTATGCGTGGCGTAAAAACTCCTGGCCAGCCTCCTACTACAACGTCTACAACAGGCAGGGGCAGAAGACCGGCTGACCCAAACTCAATGCGGGTTCCGCCGTGGGCGTGGTACAACAGACGCCGTTCACGCAGTACGCCGTCATATCGAGCTCGCGCACGCCAGGAGAGATGGTGGGACTACATTTGTTGCCCCGGACTGGAACAAATCATTTGATTCCATAAACGTCGAAGCATTGTTGACAGCTCTGGGCCACTTTGGGGTACCTCTGAACATGCTCACGCTGATTGGGAATATTTATGAGGCCAGGCGATTTTGCGTAGCCGACGGGGCTATCAAATCTTCTGAAAGAAAACAAATGTCTGGAATATCACAGGGGTGTCCGTTGTCGCCATTTATTTTCGTCATGTTGATGACTGTGGTCCTGCGAGACGCCGTGAACAACCTGAGCGACAATGACAAGATCGATATGGTTTCTGGAAGTCTTTCGGTGCTGCTGTATGCCGACGACACGCTGCTCAAGATCAACAGCGACGTGACGTTGAGGACGCCGGCGGGGCAACTCATTGCCGAAAAACGAAGCATGACATAGTGGGGTGCTACTTTGTACAATAATGGGCAGTTGGGTACCGAGCTAAACAAAAGAATAGGGGCAGCTTGGGCCGAATTTTCCAAGTATGACAGAGCATGGAAACACACTGCTTTAAGCAACCGGCGAAAACTGGATCTATTCCAAGCACTGGTCACACCCCAAATCATGTACTCACTGAACACGGCGTGGTTAAACAAAGCAAAAAGGCGAAGGCTGGATGGAATTCAAGCAAGATGCCTGCGACGAATACTATATATACCTCCCGCCTTTCTTACGGGAGTACCGAATAGCAAAGTTCTGGAACAAGCTGGCCAAAAGTAGTACAGCGCGCAACTTCTTCAACAACAAATATTACTATTTGGCAAAATTGGCCGGGCTCCAGATACAGACTTTCTTCGGCTTACTCTTCAGCCTGGCACTGTTCTTTCAGCCGTGGATGCATACCCGAGGAGGAGAGGCCGGCCCAAACACGAATGGGCGAAATGCCTACACAAGGCGTTGGTTGCTCATCTTGGCCCGGAACATACTTGGGCGCAGCGCCTGCAGGACCCCATCGAGTGGCGAAGTATTTCTGAACACATTGCACACCATGATGATGAACCCGATCGCCAGTAGCATTCTGTAGTTTTTTTGTTTGCATACCTTGCATGTGATGCCCGGTGCCTTGACGTCCTTTCTGCAGCCTTCGGCCAGATACGTTCCAAGCGAAGTCCGTATCATTCGCCGGCCGGTTGTCTTCCCTCCTTCCTCCTGCTCCTCCTCCTGCTGCCGCGCACGTTGTGTTTTTATGCGACCGCCGTAGTGCCGCCGCTCCCGCAAATTGGTGAGAATCGCCTTGGCCTTGTCTTCTTTCGCCCACGCGCTCCCGCGTATGGCATGAGTGAGTGAGTGAATGGGGGCCTCCGCCTGGCCCCGGGACCGTCAAACAAAGAATCATCTTGGATCTTCTGACCCGGGTCTTGACCCGGGTCAGTCAGGCCTGGCAGAATCATACGAGATCCTGCACCCAAACCTGGGTCGATGCGAAGGACCCTGCAAGATCCTGCAGGATCCTGCACCCAAACCTGTGTCAATGCGACCCTGGCCCTGCAGGATCCTGCAAGATCGGGCGCTCTGGCTGACCCCTATTGGCATTGAACCCCGTCTCAAGGCTCCCGAAGCCAGGATGAGAAACGGGTTCCAGGGAAAGGGTCGGGCCTTCTGGGGATTTGGCGATTTTCGGCCTCTGGAGGCCTTCGCCGGGCCCCGGGGCAGTGAAAGAACGACTCAAGATGAGATACTAGCCCCGGGGAACGGGTCTGGACTTCAGGGGACCGCGTGTTGAAAAAATCAGGACGTCGAGTGTCTAGGTCGGCTCTGTCGCCGTCTTCGTTCGAAGGTGGTGCTGGGCGGCCGGAGTCGTTGCCGCCATTATCAATAACGGCAGCTCCGGAGGACGTCTCGGGGATCGATCCGGCGGCTCTGGAGGGCGTCTCGGCCGCCATGGCCTTTTCAGAGCGTTCCAAAACGCTCTGAGAGTTCTGAGAGCCTCCAAAACGCTCCAAAACGCTCCAAAACGCTCCAAAACGCTCCAACAACGCTCCAAAACGCTCCAAAACGCTCCAAAACGTTCCAAAACGCTCTGAGAACACTCTGGAGCCCAGACCCGTGACGTCGTGATTTCTTCACAACGTCGAGGCCCAGAGGTCTGGACCCCTTCCCCAGGACCGATTTTTCATCCTGAGCGGCTTTTTGACGGTCCTGAGGCCCGGGAAGGGTCCCTGGAGGCCGCAACCACAAAAAAAAATCCCGTCGTGATTGTTTTGCAGCGCGAGGGAGTCTGGAACAGATTACGCCTCCTCCCATCCGACCTCGCCCAGTCGCCGCCGTCGCCGTCTTCGGCTCTGTCGTCGTCGTCATCGCCCGAGGGTGGCTGGCGGCCGGGTTCGTCGTCGCTGTCATTGGCCGCCGTCGGAAAGGGCTGGAGTGTTTTTAGTTATCGTTCTGTGGTCGTTGTTCCT